GTGAAGTGTTTTGGGACTGGGCAGGACAATTATTAAATGCTGCAGTGCAGCATGCAGGGTTATGCTAATTAGTGCCTTTTAGACACTGATCCCTTGCTGTATGGAGACTAATACTGGTCCAATTTTAGTCTGTGGTACCTTTGACCTTACTCGTTCTGAGATTGGTCTGGAACAGAATAATTTATTTTTGACTTGGTGGTTATGGTAATTGATGAATTAAAAATTCCCTACACTGTCCCTTGGAATACCCTGCATTTACTCTTCCCTTAGGCTCTGCAAGCTGGCCTTTCAAAAAACCTGATTTTTGGAGGTATAATTTTAACAGTTTAGGCATCGAATGGACACAGTCCCAGTGGAAGAATCCATGAGAGGCAGGTGTATCCTTACAGACAGATATTGGTAGAAGACATGTCATGAAGTGGCTCATTCCATAAGCACTGCCTGTCAAACAGAGAAACCCTTTTGCACATATGGCTCTGACCAGGCGGTGTGGTGTGAGGCCATGAGTAAATGTATCTTTTGATAGTTTAACTACAGCTATGTTTTCTTAAACAATTATATGTTTAGCAGTTGCAAATATGTTTTCTTATCAGGACTGCTGGTAGATCATGTATGTATATGTATGTTATATATAACATGTCTGTTTTCCTTATTGCTGACCCCCATGTAAAACCCATGTGGTTCTTTGCTGGTATGGCACAGCAGATGCTTTTGCTTTTTCTGTTGCTGTAAACAAGATGTTGTGACTGATACTACTTTTCACCATATGTCCTGAACACTCCCAGTTCATCGTTACATGTAATTTCCAGGATGCTTTGTAGGGTGTGTATGCCTCCACCCCATTTCAAAATCAATGTAGCTCTCAATGGATTGACTAATGACTGCAAGGTGTTACTTAGCATGCTGGTTTTGGCTGACAGTGCTGCTAAATGAACAGTTGTTTGCTTAACGTGTCTTTCATGGTTCTCATGTGAAGTAACTTATTCTGAGGAATTGAACATGTCAATGACTTCAGGTCTGCTGGTAAGCATTTATCTGGCATGCTGCTGAGACCAAGAAGGAGCATGACCCCAATGGTGTCCTGAACACTGATAATGTTGTATCGTCCCTTTAGCCATACCCTATGTTTGTATTGCCCTCAGACATTTTGTTGTGCTGATCTCATCATTCCTACATCCATCAAGAATCTGTAGAGTAGGAGTGGATGGGTGGCAGGAGCTAAAGAAAACTGTAATGAACCTGTAAAGGTGTTGTGCTGATGCAGTGTATAAGATGTTGTAATTCTGTCCCACTGTGAGGATCTAGGACTGATGGGACATTTTCTTTCATTTGTTTTCATTTGTGTTGTTGCGTAGACCATTCTCAACCCTCTTCTAACCCTCTCTTAGGCATAGGATATGCAGCACCGAAGAGAAATTGCTTGTGCACAGCAAAATGTATTTGCTTGTTATTATAGTGGGTGGACATGCCTTATTATTCACCTGTGATGTGTTGACCTTCCAGAAGGTCTACCTGGCATTTCGATAATAGCATGTGTGTGGTACAGTACTGAGTGTGGTCAGGAATGGTGTCTCTACTAATCATTTTAATGAAAGCAATCATGTGGAAGTGAGCAGAAACTGAATTTAAATTGTAAACATGAAAGAAGTTAAACTACAAGAAAGTGCATTCTTTGAGCATCTCTCACATATGACTCTAGGTTTCTGTATGAGGTGGTTGTCTGAGCCTTTGTCATATGTGCTGCATTGCTGGGCTGTCCTCACAATCTAGTAATGTGTTGCTTTTGGGAATTTAGCTGGTGTGAATGACTTTTTTTTCCTCTCGATAGCTGGTGGAATTGTTCATGTTGCCCTCAGCAAATAGCAGGCTACTTTTACTTTAATAGACCTATGTCAGCAAGCCGCGTGATTAGTTAGGTGCTGAGGGAGAGTTTTATGTAAGCATTCTCTTGAGGTTGGTGAGATGCCTTCATGCAAATTTTTGTAGCTCCTCAGTGGCACAGACAAAGTTTATTCATGTGCACATCATACAATCATAAGAGTATCCTGAGCTAGAAGAGAGACACAAAGGTCATCAAGTCCAGCTGCTGGCCCTGCCCAGGACACCCCCAAGAATCCCACCATGTGTCTGAGAGCACTGTTCAAATGCTTCTTGAACTCTCAGGCTCGGCGCTGTGACCACTTCCCTGGGAGCCTGTTCTGGTGCCTGGCTGACCTCTGAGTGAAGAACCTTTTCCTAATACCCAACCTAAACCCCCCTGACACAGCTTTATGCTGTTCCTTTGGGTCCTGTTGCTGGCCACCAAAAAGCAGAGGTTGGTACTTGCCCCTCCACTTCCCCTCGTGAGGAGGCTGCAGACTGCAATGAGGTTCTCCCCTTTGTCTCCTCTTCTCTGGGCTGACCTCAGCCATTTCTCATACAGCTCCTTCTCTAAACTGTTTACCATCTTAGTGGCCCCCCTTTGGGTGCTCACTAACAGATTTATATATTTCTTGCATTGTGGTGCCCAAAACTGCACACAGCACTAGAGGTGAGGTAGCACCAGCACAGAGTGATGTAATGCACCTTCTCAAACATATGTTCTTTTTGGTAGCATAATGCTGTAAGTTACAGTTCCTGCCTTTTTTTCTGCTCATATGTGTACAGTCTTTTAATTCTGGAAGTTGGAGTTGAGAACCACTGTTTGAGCTAACATTGACTGTGCCCTTCTTTTCACCTCTCAGGCTGAGGGTATGATTGAAGATGTTAGGTTGATGCATATCTGCACTCAAATCTTCCATGAGTCAAGAAAAAGATAAAGAGATCCTGATGTAACTCTATCAATGTGTAATGTGGTCCCTGTGGAGAGGAAAAGATTATTGACATTGTCTTTACTGCTGATGAATGCCTGTGATGAATGTCCACATAAATTATTTCGCTCTTGGTGTCAGTCTCAGCAACTTAGGTTATTTTTAGTATACACAGCTGTATCTTCTATATGGGATCTGGCCATAGTGCTCTCATTTGTCATGAGGGCAGATCTTAGTGGTGGGTTGTTATTTGGACTATTCTTGTGTGTGTCTACATGTTACTTTTATGTTAAAGAGAGAATGTCGGTAAAATCAGCGTGATGTTGCAGAAAGGAATATGTTTGCACTACATGAGTCCAGATCAAAGCATTCTTTTATAATGTCTTGCATTTTAAATGAATTTTGATTTAGTAAGTGCCTTTTTGTTCTTGCATACACTTGATAGCCAAGTTTCTTCTCCAGCTGAGTACTGAACAATGCTGGTCGGGGTTGTGATAGGCCTTCTGTTGCAGCAGTGTGCTGTGATGCTGGCACAGGCAAACCATTTGAGTGTGAATGATTGTCCTCACTGCACTGGCCACAAGATGCTCTGTTTTCCTTTGCTCCTTTGGTCAGGTTTCATGAGATAAGGACTCTATATTCCTGCCTGACTCCTGCAGCAGTCTAAGCATCTCTGATGACATGCTGTTGGTCTTTCATAGTCACTGTGCTCCTTTGGTACCAAAGTATTACTGAGTCTTTCCCAGTTACAGCTGGATGTTGTAGTAGGTGATCTTTTATCTCCAGGTGCCTTTGAAAACTTCATGCTACCACCTGGCAGTGCATGTTTTTTTCTTATTTTATTTCTTGCCACTACTTGCATCTGCTGAAAGTAAATGTGCCAAACTGGCTTTGCTCTTGGAAGAAGTAATAGTTCTATGGTTTACTTTGCTTTGCTTAAACGATAGTAAGGGGGTTTTTTTTCTCATTTTATGTATCTGCTAAGTCCATTTTTATGTGAACATTTGTTTATTTGGCTCCTGAAACAAAATATATTCTGTAGAATTTCCAAGGTCTCTGTAAACTTTTAAACCTGTAAATGACTTGATGAAGTGGACTGGTTTTTTTTTCTCAGTAGGCTCCTTTTTTTCCTGTCTTTCACAATCAATAGTGTCATGGTCTGGTGAAGGGCAGAATTTAGTATGTGTGGCTGGGGAAGAGTGGCTCAGCAGAAATGGTGCTTACCTCCTTTTTATTTCAGATTGTCATATTTTGACATGATTTTGGGATGGAAGTAGCTTTTTTTTCTGGTTCAGAAAAAGCTTAGCATTAAGGATTTGACAGATGTCCACCTTCTTTCTGACTTGGTGCTGTTGATGATCCTCACTGCACAGCACAGTCCCTGCTACAGTCCCTGAGCTAGTTCTTATGAAGAACTGTCAAAGTTAACACTTCCCTAGAATTTAATGTTGCCTTGAGAAACAGAAAACTCCAATTATTGATTCTAGGTAGTTCCCAAAGTGCTTTTTGCATTCTTAGAATATCTTAATATTGTCTATATGATAACTTCCCTTTTCTGGGTATTTATTCTTCAGATCATTCGTGCTGTATTTGCTGTAAGTAAGTGCTTTTCAAGAAACTGTGGTTTTGCCTGCTTGTGTGGCTTAATGCTTCTTATTCACACAGCACAAATAAATTGAGGTGGTTTCCTTTCACATCAGCTGTACTGTTCTTGCTGGTGTTATCACACTAATCTTGCATGTAGATTATAGGCTTCTGTAAACCTGATTCTGAAGTGATGAGAGAGTGGAGGGTTTTGCAAAAAACTCTTTTTTGCAAAACTCTTAAAAGTTATTTCAGATTTTCTGTTATCTTCTTGCTTTCTGGACAGAGTTGTAGACTTTGGTTTCATTCTTGTCAAGTGTTATGCTGGTTCCTGTTAACATGTTTATCTTCACCACTCACAGAGGTAAATTTGACTGCAAGGTTCAGTTTTCCCTTTTGCTACTGTGAGAAACACCCAGAAAATTAGTTAAATGATGCTGAGTATCTAATATCTGCATTTCATACTTACTTTAACTGAAACGAATTACATGGAGGTTATAGCTTCAGAGCAGGAAGCCTAACTAGTCAAAAGAAACTGAGATTATGCTAATGAAGTTTTGCTTGATGTCTTCTGCTTTGTATTAAAATGTGTCATAATGAATACATTCTATTTCTTCTTCCCTACAGGTAAAACGAGAAAAACCAGAAAATTTACCAGATTTAGAAAACATGGCACGAGAAAAATTCCTTGAAATGGAGAGCATGAACAGTGACTCAGATTTACAAAGGAATGAAAAATATATGTATTTTAAGGATCAACTTAAGGAGATGAAAAAACAATGTAAGTCTGTTTTTTAAAAAGTTATTCTTTGAATGCTAAGCAGTAAAATCTGACTAACTGCCCTGAAATATCGAACTGCCACTTATGGCTCAAACTGATGTAAGTATTCTTAAAAACTTCAAAACCTACTTAAATTGATATCTGTGTAGAAAAAACCCAGTTTAATTATCTTGGTAGTTTTATTTAGACTCCTACAACTCCTGCTGTGTTTGAACAAAAATATCATGAAAACCACATTTTTTTTGTAAGGTGGGCTTTTTCATTTGAAGACCTTTCACATTTATTTTCTTAATTGATAGGATCTCCTAAAAGGATTAGGTAAGCTGTTTTCATTTGTCACTTAAACAAATTGCTCCTGTTTCACAACATAGGATGTGTTGCAACACTAAGAAGACCTTTGCTTTAATGGTAGAACTGTATTGTTGGAAAATGCTTACTGTACGTGCTCTCAGGTTTACAGCTTCTGTGCACACAGTGTACAACACTGGAGATTACTGAAATCCAGTTTTTTCAAAATCATGTAATTTTTCAAGTGTTAAAATTTTAAGTTATTTGTGCTTAAATTACCAGAAAAGTTGAAGAGTAAACAGTTTGGTTATTTATGCAACACAACAAAATTGTCTATTTTTATTGCCCCACACATACAGCAGTCATTAAAATATCACTCTGATTACTGGTGCTGGGAAAGTTCATGGGCTCTGACACTATTTGTGTTGCTCTTCCCCAGTCATGATTATGTTCTGAAATCATATTATTCTGCTTGCTGTCCCTTGACCCCTGTACCTGTTCCCTCCCATCCTACATTTTGATTTCAACACAAACTGGTATCTCAGGAACTTCAGGAGTCATAGATTAATGATTTATACAATTGGAAAATGATATTCTGGGTGCTCTCCTGTATCTCTCCTTGAATTCTGGGTTTTTTTAGAGCCCTATCCAAAACCCAAAGAAACCAGTGTAAAGAATTTTCCTACTGGACTTTGGATTGCTTCCTTATGGAGATTTATAGGACATGTTTGACAAGATGAATTTCAGATCTGGTATCTCAAGACTCCTTAGGATTAGAGCTCTAAGGCTTAATATATTTGTTTCCCATCTTTATGCATTTTAGCACTGATCTCTGAGTTTAATAAATCTCTTGGCACTACTCTAAGAATGAATACACCAATTTGCAGACCACAAAACAGTGTAATTTTCACTCCCTGCATAACCATAAAATTATTACTGCCCCACCATTATGTTGTAATTTCTAATTTCCAGGTGTTTGTAACTAAGAAGATAAAAATCTTGATAACTGACTTTGGATTTACTTTCTACCTTGTAATTGCCTGAGGAAGGGGTGTATGCTCTAGTGATATATTCAGTTCAAGCTATGGGATTAAGTTCTAACTGGCTGACTTGTTAAAAAAAACCCAAATTGAATAAACATAATAGAAAATATTCTTTAAAAAATATGGGGACATAATTCTGCTACTGCTGCCTCAAATCCAGATTTATCTTATTAAACACTTCACTTGCAATACCAGCTGAGCTGAAGATTAATAAAATCTGTAAGAGATATTACTAGTTTCCATAAGGTGATTTACCTTAAAACATACCGTATGTACATGTGGTTCTGGTGGAGCCATTTTGTAAGAAGAAATTAAGGTCATCCTGTTAAATCTTCAGCATTCATGCATAAGCCAAGTTATCTGTGTATTCTTTACCTTCTCCTGTACGAGTTGTGATTTCAAAAGCATGAGTCCTACAATTCTGGCCTCATCTTAACAGCACATTATAATATGTCTGCAGATTTTGGGACACACTTGAAAACTGCTGGATGTGAGGTACATGTATCAATAACTTCATCAACAACTACTGGTTAATATTGTGTTTTCAACTATTAACCTTGCCAGGTGCAACTTCGTTCACAATTCCTGGCTTTTTTCAAGAACAGATACACTGCTGAGGTTCAGTTTTTAGCTTTTTTCTGGAGGTTGGTTTTATTGCTCAATTAGATAAAACATAAAAACTCCTTCCAGGTTTTCTCAGAGGGGCTTTCCTGTTTTGTTTTGGTTTTTATTTTTGTTTGTTTGTTTGCTTGGTTTTGTTCCAATATTTTCTCTCTCAAAGGAGCATATAGGGTAGATACTAAAATGATTTGTCTTCTAGAATGAGTTACCATTAATGATTATGTATCTTTTATGCAAAGTTTGACATTTGTATTCTAGAACAGCTGAACAAGGAAATACTATATTCTTGCATTAGAAATTAACTGAGACTTGAAGGAGAAAAACTTCCTCAACACAGATTTAGGTATGGTGCAAAGTGTGAAGCACTTAAACACAACCTTATTTTAACAGAAAATTAAGCTAATATATTTTCTCCATTGATATTTGCTGCCACCATGACGAAAGGAAGCTGCATGGTTGTTCCCTGTCCCCTGACAGGTGACAGGCAGTGCCATAGGTAGCTCTAATACTCAGGGAGGAGAATGGTGCTGTGCCACCTTCATCTTGTCTTCTCTTGGCAGTTCTGTGGGAAGGAGACCTTCTTAGCTTTGAACTTCAGCAGCAGCCAAGGTGCAGAAATGAAATTGGGCAAGTACATCTCTGTGGCAGTAAGGATGAGATCATGCCTCAGAGCAGTTTCTGTTCTGCTCGTCGTCCAGACTGTTTTCAGACATTTTCTCTCAATCTGTGAGCCTTTATTATGGAGCTACTTTAGCTGGAGTTTGTGAAGTGATGAAAAATCTTCACCTCTGATATGTGTCAAAACACTGTCAGACAGGTTTTATGTGAACAGCAAGTGATTTTTCTGAAGTCTGTTTTCAGGACTATCTTAGTTTCCTAAATTCCCACTTCTTATTTTTAATGGAAAATAGTTTCATTTTTCTGCCCAAACCTTCTTAGACTATAAGGAGTAGAAAAGAGTGTTGGTTGATTTTTCGTTTTTTTAACCATTTCTTGTACCCCCAAGTGGTTACATTATTTTTCCCAAATAACTGAGTACTCGGAGGAATATTCACTACATTTGGTAATACCAAAAAGTTCAAACTGATTTCATGTGTGGTAAGGAAATTTTGTTGAGTCCTTAGACACAAGGGTCCTACATTTGCAAAATGTTTAGTGATCTCCTTTTGATTTAGTGAAATGCTTAAGTAAGTTGCAGAAATTAAATTTTATGAGTAGATCCTTTGAAATGAGTGAGATTGCTGGCATGTTTCACTTCCTTATTGGAGCATGAACCACAGTAGAGAGCCTTACAGGAGTGAGCCCATAGGAACTAATCCATGCAGGAATTGTAACTTTGCATTTTGTGTCTTCTGTAAGTTTAAAATCCCACCTTCTGTTTGAAGTTGTATTACTGAATCTTTTTATTTCATGCCAGAATATATATGTACATATATTTATACACATACATATACACATATCAAAGGCATCTATCTTCTGGCAGAAAGTATGAGAAATTTTGTCTTCACAGAATGAAACTAAGATCTGTCTTTATTCTCCATGTATCAGTTTAAATGTATGATACTCTGTATGGAGAGCTAATCAAAAGGTATAATCTCTTCTCCTGTGACCCTAGTTGCCACTAGTGTATTTGCTGAAGGTTATTTAGTGTCACGTTTGGTGCACAAAGGATGACAGATTTCATAGCCCTTGTGTAGCAGCTGATAAACGTGCACTTTGGAATCCTTGATAACTGCAGGTTCTGCAAACACACAACAGATGCATGCTTCAGTAGTGATTTTGTGGAAAATGATAAGATTTGAGTGAATGACAATATTGTTGGTTATGCCAAACAGTTTAAGGACTGGATTTGGCAAATATAGAAAATATTTTTTTTAATTATTTTTTTTTTTTGTAATGGAGGACAAATAATTTTGAGACTCAATAGTAGTTTAGGCAAGTTTTTGTCACAGGAAACCAGTCACTGTAATGTAGTTTGGAAAGCAGCTACACTGCAGTTGTAAGGATCTTTATTGCATTCGCCACTGATGAAAAAAAAAGTCTCTGAGTCTTTAAAAGGAAAAAGTATGTATCATTTTGGTAGTATGGATTTATAGTCATTATCAATAAGCAAATATTTTGAAAGGAGAAGATTTTAAATTTAATGTTCAAGTAGATGCCATATGCCCTGTTGATACGTGTATTTTAAGTTATGCATATGCTGAGAAATAATGGTGTGAAAAAATGTTTTTTTAGATACAGCTTGGGATAGAAAAAAGTCACTATGAAACAAATTATCTTAAAATTTTTAAAGCAGTCTATCACAGATTCCAGCAAAGACTGAGGTCTTTGATTTGCTTTTTAGTAGGATAAGAAAACAAGCTGCAGCAAGATACTGTGTATTATATTACTTGATGAGTTTCATCCAATTAATCCTCACAACATCACATTGAAGTAGGCAAGTTAATTTTACTACTTACCACACAGCAGTGGTGAAATTTGAGGAAATAGTTGAAGTTACTTGTATGGACTCACATAACTGATTTGCAGATCTGGGTTTCTATTCAATTGTAGTTTACTACTTAGTTGGCCTATTTTTGTCCCTATACTTAGCTCTGATGGCAGAGAATCAGCTGAAAAGTAATGGTAGTGTATTTTTCCTTATATTTTCAATATAAAAATATTTTAAAATCCCCTTAATGACTAATTATGAGAAAACAACTTCAGCACAAGAGTTGAAAATTCCAGCTGAAAGTGGGATTGGTGTTATGACAGTTCAGTGATGTGTGTGGGATATGCACTTTTCATTTACGTAAAATCCCTTACAGACAACCCCTTGACTAGTAAAGAAATGAGATGATCCAGCACTTGAGAAGGTCATTTGAAGTTTAGGAGTCTTTGGTTTAGGTCTTTGCTTTGTTACCTTCTTGTTGTCTTAGATTGAGTGATTTAGTTTCAGAACAGATCACTGGGAGTTAGGTCGCTAAAAAATTTGTGGATCTGGACCTTACACCCAAGTCTGGAATTCAGTTCTGGGTGTTTCGTGTTTGGGGACTGTGCAAGAAGAGG